ATCTCTTATATCTGTGTAAGATGAATTTCACCATTGACTTAATTTTCTGAAGATTCTATCAGTCGATGATATCTAATCCACTTCAATTTTTCATCTGTTTTGATACAAATCGACAAATGAAATAAGATGAATACCTCTTGGTAGAACTAACTTTCCATTTGCGAAAAAGTACATGCTTTTCTTTTGGATATGATCAGCAAAAAACACAGATATAAACACTACTAAGTTAATTATCAGCGTACGAAAAACCTTTTTTTTCTTTCCTTCACGTTCCCCAGTGGAACATAGGGCTTCAAGCTAGTGGCTTGAAGTTTCTGTAGCAGTGTTTAATTTTACAGGATGGGGTTGCTAGCCTCATGCCTAACCTTTCCTCTTTACCAACATTATTTCTGCTTAGCGAGGTAAAGGAGTGAGTCGGCCGGGGATCGAACCTCGGGCCATGTGCATGGTCAGCGAGCGTCCTAATCGCTATGCCACCGACGCACTAGTGCAAGATATGTTCTTATTTCAGAGATAGAATCCTCACTTAGCATGCACGTAGCCTGTCTAGGATTCCCGGCCGACGTGTTTCTAAATTTCACCTAGTTCACTACCAGATCATAAACTGGGAAAAAGGAGGGAAGATTGACGCTAGAGATTAGCAATCCCAGCTACTAAAACTTCAAAGATTGAAGCTCTATGTTCAGACACACGCAAAAGGAGTGAAAAAGGATGTTGTAAATTCATCCACAACCTTGAGAAATAGAAGTCCATTTTTAAATGTTCGAATCTGCACCGATTAGCACTGTGATCTTTGATGTCACCTCTCAGCTATTAGACCAGTAATTTATCTGTCAAAAGACTCTGTTATTACATTGCAAAAACTTGAAAGACAAAATTCGTTGATTATTGGGTAGTGAACGTCAAAACATAGATTACTCTTGATGATTAGTTACTGTCAGGATAAATCTTTCATAACCTCTTATCTAACCTGTACAATTAAATATGTTCTGAAAGATTTGTAAAATTTAGTCTAATAATCTTACTTGACCCAAAACATGTGCAGAAATTGTGTGTGTGAAGAACATTCAAAAATGATTACTAAAAGGGTAAAGTTAAACCTTAAGCACCAGTGGAGTGTGCCAGCACCAATGATGTTGAAACGCTCAGTAGGCGAGTTAGTCACACCTGGTAAATAATATTGTAATCATAGATAAGCTATGCTTAAAGAGGTATTGTGCTATTAAATGTGATATCTGACAAGTTTCAGGTTAGTTTTGGGAAAGTTTAAGTTAAGGTTTAGGCTAAGGACAGGCTGGGGTTAGGTTAACCTGACGGGGCGACATTAGGGTTGGTTCGAGTCAGATTAGGGTCAGTTTCGGGATGTTTTCACGTTAGGGCTAGGTTAGGAAAGATAACGGATATTGTTAGGTTAAGAAGACTAGGTAGTCACATGTATAGTATGCGGTTAAACTGCTCTGTTGACACTGTGATCCAAGAGTGAGAGGTATTTTTGTCACAGGTATCCTGTGTAACAGCTTCATGCCTTTTAATTCATTATTTTCATGAATATATGTATTTTGTTAGCGAAAATTACCTATATCATGTGACTGGTATGTTCAAGGTCATTTATCCGCAGGTACTTACTGGTGCCTAAAGTTTAACTTTGCCACTAAAAGGTAAGACCTTGGATATAGGAAATTTGGGAAATATGTTTTCATAAATCTTCTTCAAATGAGAGTATAGCAAAAGTATATAAAATGAAATTCGATACTAAATTATTAAGTGACGACTAAAAACACTGAAGTTTAAGGTTCAAGTCGTAAAATGGATTGAGATAGACGCTTCTGTATAAAAAGTTTTAGATTTCTTTACGTATAGCTTCAAGTGTAAAAAAAGTTGTAAGCAGGAGAGCTTTGAATTACTAATTCTTATCTCCCTTCATCAGCAACATTGTAAGATATTTATGACCACATTTAGACAAATGTTTTACTGGCACAGCCGACGTACTTGGCTTGCACATACACACACGCACACAAATCTTGTCAGTAGTGAAACTTATTCTTTAACTTCCTGATGATGAACAAGCAGATTTGTGGAGAAAGTAAGGCATGGGGGATGCACTGAAGAATGTTTGTTGATGTTATCTTGATAAGTGACATCATAGGATTTCACTTGAATTTCTAATTTACCGAATTTTTCTTTGGAATATCAAGTTTCTTTTTCAAATGAAGGTAGATGTTCATCTAGAACTGGAGCGTTCTGGAAGTATTCAAGCTCCATATTCAATGTATCATCCGTACATATACGAGAAATTCTTGCGACAACAGTACTGGAGTGGTTTTAATTTTGATTACAGATCGATTCCACACTGTATTTTTGGTACTAGTATGGAATTTTCAGCATGTGATACCGGGAGCCCAAATCTTGCAGGCCGACCATAGATTTCAGGTGTGCGTCGGCAGCGGGTCGAACCTCGGACCATGTGCATGGTTGGTGAGAGTCCTAACCACTGTGCCACCGACGCACATAAATTCGATTTCATAAATTTAATCTTGGAAGCGATCCATTTCACTTTTTCTTGAAGTTGAACATTGAAGACGGAAAGTTTACCCTTAGACCTAACTTCAGGGGTAAAACAGCCCATTGATAAACACTGTTATGATTAATAGTAGAATTAAAAACTGAATAAATCAAGACCTTTATCAACCAACAGCTGTCTCCGCTCTATAATGAAGATCAGATGGCCGGACCGGAAAGAATCACCAACAAGAAACTATGGGAACAAACAAATAAAACAAGAACCAATCGCCAACCAACAAATATTATGCAGGAGAAAGTGGAGATGGATTAAACATTCGCTGAGTGAGGGGGCCGCTGGGTGACATCGCGCGCGCGTCAGGCTATTGCTCGAGTGGAACCAGACCGAAAGGGGAGCGGCGAGTGGGTCGTCGGTGCAAGGGTGACATGGAGGAGATCGTGTGAAGAGGAGTTGAAACAGTATGGACTAACATGGATGCAGGTGAAAAGTACAGCAGAAGAGAGAAGCAAATGGAGACATGCAGTTGAAGCCCTGCGTTCCACTAGGAACCTAAAGGAACAATAATAATAATTATTATTAGAAGACAGTGGTAAGCACATCGAATGGATCAGTGCATTTTTTAGTAACTAGAACAAAATTTTTATAACCTGCTAAGGTTAGTCAATCCATGTTATGAATTCTTTATTTTTAATTAGCACTTTATATCTATTTCTATAGATAATTCATTTATCCAGTTTCGTTGATCTTTGCTTCATCATTATTCAATTAAAGTACAGTCAACATGTTCGTTGTGTATGGTAATATTAAACAAAGTAAAAATTTTCGTCAATTAAATGGAAATCCTCATAAGGTAAACTAAACTTAATCAAATAAGACTACTACTACTATCACTACTACTCAGTATAGATTGTTCTCATTCAACTAATCAGATTTCTAACTGAAATTAATTATTTTCCTTCTTCATGAAGTCAAGTGAACTTCTTCATTGCAATCTCTTTCAGTGAGTTAGTTCAAAGGCATTCAAATGATAAAAGAAAACCATATAGGATCGGGAAAGCAAGACAGACGTTCATTACTCCCAAGTCTGTGTGGAGGTCAACAGCCTCACCATCAAAAATAAGATCCAGATTTTCAATTCCAATGTGAAATCAGTGCTACTGTACAATTGGATCAGAGACTTAGCGTGTCATAAAGAGCATCTCAAACAAACTAAGCACCTTCATCAACAGGTGCCTTCGCTCAATACTCAAGATCAGATGACCAGAAAAGATCAGCAGTAGATGGGGATATCTGGGAGCAAACCAACTAGGAACCGATTGTGCAACAAATAAGCAGGAAGAAATGGAGATGGAGAAAACAATCCATCAAGTGACATCCTAGACAAGCTATTGCTCGAGTGGAACCCGAAAGGGAAGCGGCGAGTTGGTCATCAATGTGAGGGTGACTTGGAGGAGGTCATGTGAAGAGGAGATGAAAGCGTGTGGGCAGACTTGGAGCCAGGTGAAAACTTTAGCAGAGAACCGAACGCAGTGGAGACGTTTGCTGAAGCCCTATGTTCCTCTAGGAATTAAAGGAAATAATAATATGGGTTAAATAAAACTAAAAGTGGAAGTTTAGACATTACGGTAGGTGATGAATACACCGAACAAAAAACAGCTGTAATGCTTAGTTAGTTACATCTATTTATTTAACTTGCTTTTTTATAAGAAAAAAATATTGTTGCTGCGGTTATGGTTAGAAAATTACAAAGTAGAATTAACCATGAATTTAACTCACAGTTTGCAAATTAATTTGTAGTTTAAACAGTTTGAAAAGATGAAATTACACCACAGTTTCCGAAAATTGTTCAGATCACAATGATAACGATCAAGATTTTTTAAAATTCTTTCACGTTCCCAGTGGAGCATAGGGCTTCAAGCTAGAGCTTTCAAGTTTCGTTAGCAGTGGTGTTCATTTTTATGGGATGGCGTTGCTAGGCCAATGCTCAACCTCCCCTCTTTACGGTTCTTATTACTGGTGTAACCAGGTAAAGGAGTGAGTCGGTGGTTGCGGATCGAACCCCGAACCACATGAGGCGAGCATCCTATGACTGTGACGCCGACGCACTAGCGATCAAGAAACCAAGCATAACTCAGGTGGTTTAAGCTAAGTTAAACATGATACACCGCTGATGAGCTCCGCCTAAAATGAGCAAAACAGCCGTCCGATGTACAGAACCCTTCAATTTGATTGGCCGGCAAGCACTACTAGCCGACGCAAGTAGTATACAACTACTCATTCTAGTTAATCAGCAGTATACAGCTTTAAAATAAACACCAATTTGTTAGAATTGTTAAGATACTACCATTGTTATAACGAACCAAATAATATGATATATGGATATAATAAAAAGATAATGAAATTTAACAGAAAAAACAAACAAACTATAATAGTTTAAACAAAGAAAAGAAACATTGAAAAATACTTGTGATTAACTAACCTTAGAATTTTGTAATTTTGTATTTGTATTAGTTGACTTCTTTACTGCATCTAATGAGATAAGACGAAGTTTGAGACCACCTTGATTAGATATGAAGGAGAAAAATTAAAACAAGGTGGAAAACAGCACGCACACAAAAAACAATACACTTACTGCTTAAAAAATTTTGTCACTTAGTAAACTGAAATTGTTGAGTTAAACAAATCTATCAGGATAACGTGGTATCTATTTGCGAAATACTATAAGCTAAGATGTGAGATTGTGACTCATTGGTTTAGGTGCTCGAAATGAGACTAGTGGTCGGCGGGTTCAAACCCTACTCCACCTACAGAGGTTTGAAGAGCCAGGTAGTATCACTAAGATTTACACTATAGAGGTGTAGGCTTATTCTCGACTGCATGGAGTTGTACGTGGTTTTATTCAAAAACCTGTATTCTAGAACTCTTTGACAATCATATCCAAAACTATATTTCACAAGATTAGATTATCTCCTGGTATACTGATAAAATGGATCTGGTAGCTAGCTGCCAACCACGCTTGTCTGATCAGTTAATTTTTAGATTGTCAACTCTCCTGTGAAAAATGTGGATAAGGATTGGTGTCCCACAGTCAGTTATTCCGTTGACTAGTATGCTTCATTATTTTAGTAAATCTTTGTACTACATATATCATAACTTTGACTATGATCAACTGACTGACAGAAGTGAACCAACTGAAATTATTATCTGTAGGATGATGATAATGGGAATTAGCTTAAGATTGCCAATTAATCAGAACAATCGATTTCAACTGCCCTGGGCCGATTTTAAAGTGGCAAAATATATGTGTACATGTGACGTGTTTTTCCTGATAAAAATCGTATCTTAACAGTCATAGACTGGTCTTTGTCTCTTGATATTCATGTGGCTTAGTGAAGCTCAAGGTACCACGGACGAATAGGTGTTCATTGCTTCAGTATTTATACACCCACGCATGTCCACTAGACCTCTTGGGCCGCGAGAGCCACCTCTTGTCCAATGGGTCATGTTAATTATTCAATTGAATTGTAGATTTTCCTGTCGACTGATTGGATTGAAGTGCTCAGTCTCAGGTTGATAACGTTTAGGTGTTTGAAACTATGGGCACTGGGTTTGAGCCTCGGTGGGAACATCATCCCTCACTCACTAGGGAATGCAGGTAAATCCAGATGACGAGTCGCAAATGGGGCAAAATGAGTATCTTGGATTCCACTGCTAGTCACCATCCACCGATTAACTTGCAAATAACTCATATTTAGAAAAATATAAAAATCTGATTCAAGGCTTTTTGTATGTCCTGCTTAAATTATAGTTTTTTAATCAAGACTATTTGAAACTGTTTGATATGCGTATATATGTTCTTATCAGATAATAAAAGCGAATTTTAGTGAACATACATGACATGATGGGAATAAATTTAACTCAACAGTTTGCTTTATTTTACTTCCAAAGTGAAGGATATAAAATAATTATAGTAGTTCTGCTTAAAATAGCTGGAACAAAAAGGATGACAGCAAAGCTCGCCATTCAAATGACGTTTCTTCCATGATACCATCTACAGGAGTGTGCGTTCTAACCAATGTAGGATGTCAAGTCATAATGATATACAAGTCTGACCATCACAACAAGGTTGAGCAGATAACCAACAATGTAATATGCTTAGTTTAGAATTCAGAATATTGATTGACTCATTTACGAAGTAGACCATTCTGAAGAAATGTCACTTACCCTTATGTTGAGATAAAAATATTTAATTGCTAAAGAAAGTATCAATTTCTCGTAACCTTACTTCAAAGCTGTACGCTTATGTAGTGTTGCAACAGGTCATAGAAATGCCTACAAAGGTCAGCTATTACTATCGATTGTTAAACAAAAACATGAAATTGTATATGATGAAAAATAAATGAGTAAATTACAATACTTAGTTAAGTAGTCTACGTAATCTAAAAACATTAAGTAATGAATACCGCTCAGAAATGAACATGATCGAGACTGTAAATGCTTGAAAACACGAATGATGTACATAAAACTAAGACATTTGGGATATGTATAAGGCATATTTTAAAGTTATTAGTTTGAAAGGAAAGAAGTAGTGGGAAAAACGAATGACTACAGGCTAAATACCAAATTACTGGTTAAATTTAAAAAAAAACGAGGGTTTAAGGCCAGAATGGTAAGACAGCCTTTGTACAAACACCTCACAGTTCTCCTTGTATATAGGAAGAGCTTCCGCCTTTTGACAGAAGGGTGTCGGGCGACATCTTCTGTCCTTTCAAACTAATCACCTTTAAATATACTTTATACATATTCAGAATCTCTTAATTTATGTACAGTATTCCTGCTTCTAAGCGCTTACACTTTTAAACGATAATCATTTCTGGGAGATATTCATCATTTAATGTTTTTTAGATTACGTAAGACTACTTAACTAAGTTTTGTAGTTAATTCATTATTTTTCCTGTTATGGGATTTCATATGTTTTGTTATCAATTCAGATGAACAGTTAATCTTTTAGATATTTTTCTGACCCTATTGCAACACGCCACAGCTGTACAGCTTTAAACTGAAGTTACGAAAAGAATATTCTTTACTGACGTGTCTTTTTAGTTTAAATCGTGGAAAATACCCATTGGAACATTAGATTGAAAAGAACAAAAGTTCATCAAAGATGGCGATCTTTTCGGCGATTTCATTCTCAAAAGCTGCACAATCACATCTATATACATTAGTTTACATGGATACAATTCTTATTTGTCTAATTACACACAGTAACGAAGGTGATAATAATTTTCAGCTTGATATGAAAGCTTGAAGGTAGGAATATAGATTACAAGGGGCTTAGAGACAAGATTGCATAGGATTAGAAAACAGTTACAACCTATGCAAAATTAATATTTGATAACTGGAGAATTAATTTTCAAGGCGAATATGATATGAATTACAGGAGGCTTAGAGACGCAGTAATAGAACGAATTACAGGTGTGAACAAAATGAGCATGGAAACAAATTGAAATCAAAATTTTTCGACTTGAAATGTTAGTTAGGATGTATGAATATAGATTACAAGAGGTATAGAAACAAAAAATTACACACGATTAGAATATAATTGTAAGATGGTTATTCTAAACTGATTACAAGTGTGATCAGGATGAGCATGGAAACAAACTTAAAATAACTGATTTTATAACTGAAAAAATAAGATGAATTGAATGAAGGCAAAGAGAGAAAATTACACACACAGAACATCATCCAGCATGGCTGCAAAGAGGAGGCACTGGTTCAATCAGAAGCGCAATAACTGAACATCTCGTCAATACCTGTCACAGAATCTCAACCGACTCATCATTTAGAGTCATTTACAAAGTAAACAAAAATCTACCAAAGGCAGTGTTTCCATGCTCATTTTGTTCACACCTGTAATTCGTTCTATTACTGCGTCTCTAAGCCTCCTGTAATTCATATCATATTCGCCTTGAAAATTAATTCTCCAGTTATCAAATATTAATTTTGCATAGGTTGTAACTGTTTTCTAATCCTATGCAATCTTGTCTCTAAGCCCCTTGTAATCTATATTCCTACCTTCAAGCTTTCATATCAAGCTGAAAATTATTATCACCTTCGTTACTGTGTGTAATTAGACAAATAAGAATTGTATCCATGTAAACTAATGTATATAGATGTGATTGTGCAGCTTTTGAGAATGAAATCGCCGAAAAGATCGCCATCTTTGATGAACTTTTTGTTCTTTTCAATTTTTAGTTTAACACAGTTTCACAATAAATCCCAAAAAGAAGAATGAAAAAGATGAAAAGAATCAAGAACAAATTGCGCGGTTGAATCTGCCGTATTGGTTGAAAAATTCCAACTTTCCTTCCAAACGATCAACGTAATCTCAGTGATCACTCACTTGATTCAAAGCAGTGTTTAAAAGTAACACGTTAACATTTAGTCAACTAAAACATGACACCATGTATTGCGTCACTTAAAATGTTTTTGGAAAATGCTATTAATAATAAATGTGCATTGTATTTAGGCATTTATGTTCAAATGTATGAAATAATGCCTTCATAAAGGTATTTCGAAAAACATGTAGTATGCTTTATTAAAGTTTACGTATACCAGTCTATTGATTCAACGGAAAGAAATGTAAAGTCACTAACTAAAAATGATCAGTTGTTATTGTCAAATGTTGACCAGAAAAACACCCATGTAAATGCGCTAACACGTTTTATCCTGTTGGAAAATTTTGACTTAATTTTTTAAGAAAAATGTACATGAATTTTGAGGGTATATTGGAAATGATTTACAATATTTCTGTTATCCTTCTTGAATTTATCACATACAATTGCATTTAGTTAAAAAGAGAAACATTTAATTACTTATTTCAGTAGCATGGTAAGGATAATAATTAATAATAATAACAGCTTTTGATGATATTAGATGGTTGGAGACAATCAGCAGGAAGCCCAGTCTGACTTAGGTTTCGCACTAGTCTGTACTCATCAGTTAGCAAGGCGTATCTGCAACCTTCAAGGAACTCATTTCCCTTCTGAGATTCGAGCCGGTGTCACTCGGTGAGTGCCGAAGTCGTAGACTTTACCACTAAGCTATTTGGACTCACGATTGACCTTCTGTAGGACTCTTTTGGGTACTTTGATTGGACACTAACTAGTGTGATGTGTCTAATAGCTTTATCCTGAAAAATACCTTTATACACAATATAGAATTCTCAGCGACTTTGATTGCAAGCAATTTACTCTAGTACTACTTTACAATGTCTTTCCTCCATCTCCTTAGAAACATTCTTAGCGGTAGGTAGAAACTTATTTGAAATAGTGCGACAGTATGAATTGCAACTCATTATGGTGATTAAAGCATTAAAACAATGCATTTTGATGAATATAAAATTTAGGTAGCCTAGTGATTTAAATAGGCCGTCAAGAATAGTATGTTTATCGTTTCAGCACTGTTCCCTGAGGTTTCGAGTGGAACATCACTATTTCATCTTCTTCTCTGCAATCCTCTTTAGCTGCCTGTATGATCTCTTATAAGCTTTCACTTCC